AAAATATATTTAATATAGAATTGTCTTCCTGAGGTTAGGTTCAAGGAAAATTATTTTTCTAAAATAAAAATACCAACACCTTTAAATTTAATTTTTGAACACAGTACAGTTTAGGAAGATGAAGTGTTTATTTATTATTTGAAAATTCAAATAAAAAGTGTAATTCCTCTCTTTTCAACTTGCTACGTGGTTAAAATAGAAAATAAAAAGGCATTATGTATCATAATAATAATGTGAGTTTTACTTTTATTTCAACGTACCACAAGATATTTAAATGTGCAAAACTACGCCACTTAGTCTGAGTGGTAGGCGGTGGTACTGCATGTACTCTGGCACTGATTGTCCGGTCCAGGTGAGGTTAATTAACGCAGCTCAGACACTCGTGTCCCGGTAGACTTCACGCTGACTTCTGAGACGTCATCCTCCGTCATCACCACAGCCAAAGTCAACAACTACTTTCTCAACAAAACTAGTGGAAGAGTCGGCGTGTTTCCCACCACCGACAGCAACGTCAGCAAACAAACAACCGCGGGGGGAACTGGCAGTAAACACCGTGGACACGGACCGTTTCTCCCTCCTCCACAGTCGGACCGGGCCTCCGCGTCAGATCAGGTGAGTCAGTGCGTCCATCCCCGCTGCCTGCTGTTTTTTCCTGACGGCCAAATGTGTGCGTCCGCGGCCGTGTGAATATTTAATAAGTCCTCGCTGTACACTCGTGGACGCTGCAGAGTTTTATTATGAGCGCGCACTAAAGCTGCTGTGGTTGTGATCGTGTTTACTCAGTGGAGCCTCAGCTGCAGGCCTGGTGTGAACTGCTGCTCGAGTCTGACTCACTGTCTTGATGAGATTTTCCATGTGAACAAAGTTTCACGATCCTTCGATATTTTAGACGATGTTTGGGTTTAGTTTACCGAGTTGATTGTATCGACGTTGCTGTACCGCCTTTTATTGTCGAAACAAAACCAAAACAGTTGTGTTTCACTGTACTTTTACATTGTGCTGTGGTTGTGGTTTGTGTTCAACATATGGTCCGTGACCCCTTAGAGTCCATGATGCTACTGTAGGTGGTCTGAATTATTACTTGTTGGTTAGATTTTTTTTCCCCAGTACTTTTTGCCAATATTTTACGTAAGTGACACAAGTCAAATAATACGTTTTAAATAAATAAATGTCTTTTTTATTTATATTGAAGTCCTTCAACATCTTTTTTTTCCCACTTCACGTTATTTTGCTTGTAAACAGTCATTTTCTTGGATTTATTTCCTTCTGCTGATTTAAGAGTTGCACTTTGTCTCGGTTTGTTGTTTAATACTTTATCTGGGAGATGAAATGTGTAACTTTTTACTGTGTAACTGTGACTGGAGACAATGAGCTCCCTGGAGAGAAAAAACAAACAAACAAAAAAACCACCAAGTTGAAATGTAACTAGATTTTAATATTTCAATTTCAGTTACACATTCAGGACCGTATAGGACATAGTCTTGGTCTGTATCTGGACCGCTGTCCACCTGTTGGTGACCTCTGCTCTAAAGTGTGTTGCGATGTCATAGAAACACTACAGTAAAATGCAGTTTTTCATATGTATTGATTTGTGTGAAGTTTGAAAAAAAAATCCCACTCTTGTAAAAAATCTTTATAAAGTTCCTACTACTCGTACAATATTTACAATAATGTATTATTAGCCAAGACTTGCCTTTTATTACGTCATGTTCCTTCGCTGCAACAGAGCCGTTAGCATAAGAGCTAACAACAGCTAAACAAACCTACAGCGCTACGTCACATGTTCTAACTTGTCATCGGAACAACACATTTAATAAAAGTAATTTAGAATAATAATG